ATTATAGGCCTGAGAGGGTCAGTTTTTCAGAGGTGAATCCTCCTCTTGCTCCAGCAACAGTAAGTTGGTTTTGCATCAGCCTGCATCAGTTTTGTAAGAGCAGAGCAAGAATAAAATTAGGCTCGTGTTCACCCTTTACTGTAGTTTATTTCAGAGAGCAATGCTTTGGTGAAGGTGCTGCTTGCTCTTTTAATGGAAGTGGAACTCTTTCAGCAGCATTACTTTTGGAGAATGAGCTTCCTTTGGGTCACTTGCCTTGCCACAAGTAAACGTAAAAAAAAAAAAAAATCATTATATGCCCTGTATGAGCAACCTTGGTTTTCTGTGACAGTGGAAAAGGGCAGTCTGCACTCTCACTTCTGAGCCTCATCTCTGAGATGTACTGGTGAATTTCAGGACAGGAAAACACACTTTCAGATGAGGAATTGGCCTCTGACCAGGCAATCATTGATCTCATGTTCCTGAGAGTTAATGAGAGTATGGCTTTGGCAAACAGCAGAGAGGCTTGTTTCATGTTAGAGTGGTGTGTGTGTGTGTGTGAGGTGTATATGTGGTCCAGGGAATGTAGGAGATGTTTGTCTGGATGCTGCTGAGGAATACAGACACTTTTCTCCCGGAGCATTTGTATGACAAGCAGAATGGTTTTGCAGGTGATACATGGATGTGCAAAAATGTTTTCTGAAACTTGGCAAAATGCCTTCTTCCTTGCTTTTTAAGGCTTGATCTGTTCATCCCATCCTTACACACACCAGATCCTAAAGCAGCCCACATGGGAACTATCTGAAGGCTTCCTTACTATCCTGGTACATGCAGAGCCTTATCCAAAGTGTTTGCCGTGAAGTGTATGGCCCAGTTGGAATGGTTGGATGTGGTGTTATGAGTCTCCTAGGCTGAGACTGGACTTCTTGAACTCTGAAGCTGTGACCTTGGTCACCTTGGGAAAGCTGCTGCCTGCCCTTGGCTGTGCTTCCTCCTCTCCTGGTGGGCCACATCATGGGCTTTTAGCAAAGGAGAAGTGTTGTTGGTTAGCACATTTTCACTATCTTTACCAAGTATCACAGGAGAAGCTCTGTGACAGTACTGACCAAGGAGAACGAGTTGCATTGGTTTTATTTTTGGAGTTAGCGAAGTGTCTGCTAAAATCCAGAATGGTACTGTGGGATCTAAAGGTCAGGTTTCTTTGTATTTCGTTCTAAATTGTGTTCCTCACCTCTGAGCCATCATTGCTCTGAAAGAACAGGAGGGATGGTGGGTTTCCTCATGGATAAAGATGCCCTGAGCTCCTGCTTGCAAAGATGAGGCACATATGTATTTTTATGTCTCTGAAGTACTTTCCTGTGGAGTTGAACACCCTGTTGTCACATCCCTCCCTAAACCCAGATCCTGAGTCTGTATTCAGGGATTAAAACAGTCTATACAGAATTTTCCTGGAGTTTAGCTAAATAAGGTACAATTTACACATAGCATATTTTGTGCTACAGACTTGTACTTGCATAGGAATATAAAAATAAGTTGTACTGTTGCCAGTTTGAATTTTCCTGTTAAGTTGGTGTGTGTGACTCATATTTTCTGTCTTGTTTTGAATCAGAAACAGGTACCCAAGAATGTGGCCAACATTAATAATGCCCCCAGTGACAATGAAGATTTTCCAGGATTCCAAGATGATACTTCCAAACAGAGCTTCTTATCAGAGAACAAGTCTGCTAGTTTTGATTCCCTGGAGTCTGGAAAAGAGGTAGGAACTGATTGCCATAGTCCAGTTATGCTCTTGGGAAGCAGTAACATCTGAGCCTGTGTCAAAAGTATGTGAATTATAACTCCCACCTTAACCCATAAATTGCAATCCCCATATTAAACATAAATGTAAACAAAGTTAGTATCCTTTTTAGGGTTTAGTAGTTGCTTTTGAAAACTTCTTCATAATATAAAAAAGATGTGTTTCATTGGAAGATGAGTTTAAGTGAAATAGGTAGGTGTAGCAAACAGAAAAAAGGGAATTACCATCATGTAAAGATGTTGCTGGATACATAAGACAGAGCAAATTCATGATATTAGGTGGGCATTTGTGAATATGTAAACTTCAGAGTATTTTTTCCAGAAATATCTCCGTGTGCCTCTGAACTAAAATTGTGTTTTAACCCAGAGAAACCAGCAGCTCCTGCCACGGTAGTGCAGTTTGTGGGTTCTTTGCTCTCATGATGATGAAGTGGCTTGGATCAGCACAATGATTTGATACTTTTTATTCTCTGATTTGGTAGCTGGAGATACCTGAATTCACAAAAAAACCCAATAGAACTGTTGTGCTGTCTTGGGTGGTAAAAATTTTAGTTTTCAGTCTTTTAGAAATACAGTTATATGCTTGATAGCCATGGGCTAATGTGTTATAAGATTCCTTTGTCATTTGTGCTCTTGCAAAGGTCCTTCTGTTTCATTAATAGGATAATTGAATTTTTTTTTCTTGTATTTTCCTAGTCCGTCAGGTTAGCACCTGGTTAAGAGGTGCTGGTGATAAGATGATTAGTGTTAGCCAAAGAAAGAGACAGAATAAGGCTCGTACAAGTTTGTACTATTTCTGAGCCTTTATAGGCAAGTGACCTCAGGAGAATGCAGAAACCTTTTGTGGGTAGGGCCACAGTCTGCGCTGTGGACAAAGATAGTGTCAAAAATGTAATTAAATGTACTGGGCTCTTAAATTGGTTTGTAATCTTGTTGCTAGACAGCAGTACTGTCAACTTAAGAAAACCAGGAGGTAGCTTGCTTTTGCATTTGTGTTTTTGTGGGGAGCATCACAAAGGGTGATAGGGATAGGTGGTGGTGGAGGGGAAGCCTTGTGTGACAGCTTCTGCTTCTCCCTGCTTGGGCGCTGCAGACACCCGACTGTACTTTTTTCTCCCTTGATTTCCCAACTTGTGAAACGAGTTTATGATAATGATCTCTTCTGCAAAGCGTTTTAAATTCCTCTGATGAATAATGCTGTGGAAGAGATAGATACTGTTAGTTTAAGATGCATTGCTGAGAATCCCAGAGAGAATTGTTCCAGATTTACAGCTGGCACTGCAGCCTTCCTTACCATTCCTGTGTTTCCCTTGGGATGAGAATTATTTTAAATCTTGATCAGTATTGAATTTAATTTCCTTACCACTAAATGGTATAATAAAAATACCCTGAGTTCCATCCAACTGCAGCATAATCTGCAGTCCTTGCATATCACGGCCCTGCATCAGGATGAGCATCTTGTGTTCATGATGCCAAACACCACTACTGCTGCAAAAGCCCACTGTGCAGGAAACAAAACGTTTTGGTGCGAAAGGCAAAATGATGGGAAGTTCAGAAAAAATTCAGCAGTTCTTGAGAAAGGAGGCAAAGTAGCTGCCCTGCTGGGGTGGTAAATGGGCTGTTAGTGCATCAGGTGTTCCCTTGGATGCTGAGGTGCAAATGAATTAACAAGTAGACCTCTGTGTGCCTGCTTATCCTCAGGGCTTTCTGCAGTTCTGCTCAGATAATCTCTGTGCTTCTGCCAAGTTCCCACAATTTCTCCCACAATAGGTATCCCTGATGTATTTTACCTGGTTTAGACTGTTCTTCATATATGAACTGCATCTATGTGTTATCTAGGTGTGTTATTTTTAGTTACTTTAGCTAACAAATAGCATATTTACTCCCAACAGCCTTCATTGTGGAATTTCATGAAAACACAGAATACATAAAAACTTCAGTTTCCTCCAAGAAATGCAATTTAACTTTAAAGTAACTTCCCTATTGTGTTTGCTCCTTTCTCAAGCAGCTGCACTGCAGCTATCAACAAAAGAATAAAGTAATTTTCTTCAGAGAAAGCTCATTACAATTACCCATAATAATTTGTACATGTTTAAGTGTAAAGAAACAGCATATGCAGTGGCTCCCCTCTCCCATTCCCTTCTTAAGTTTTTTTCACTCATCTATTGTATCTTTTTTCCCCAGATATTATCTTAAAATAAAGAAATGTGTAATTAAAGTCAGGAAAGGGAGGGAATTGAAAGGAAGAATAAAGATATTTAGCAAATGCATTGTATTAAAGGTAATTTTTGTTTCTTGTGTGGGAGGAAGAAGTAACAGAGGGAAATAGGGGAAACAAACTTATATGTTGCTGACTTTCAAGAGGTAGGTGTGATATGAGCATAGATTATAGTCCTACCAGGAGCAAGTCGTTCAAGAGATTACCAGGAAGAAGTTGACTAAATGGTTTTCTATTAGTTCTTGTTGGAAGTATGGAAATTCCTTTCTGTTTAGTAAAAGCCCTGTGTACATATCATGAAGCGTGTTTTAATGAGATTATTTACTATAGACTTTACTGGTCTATAGGCTGAAATTGAGGAATTCTTTACCCTAGAACGCATGTGAATGATGAACTGCACCAAAAAAACAGAGAGTTGAGAAGTTGAAAGGTGGAGGGATAGTAGTCAGGCTGTTCAAAGCTCTGATCATTTGTGTTGGTATCAGTCATCACATCACATCATCAGTGATGGTGTGACAGCATGTGGAGCAGACCCCATCTCTCATTTATATTTTCTTCTATTCAATGCCTGTTGTTTTCATCCAGAAGAAAATACATTAAACAACATGATAGTTTACATACAAGGAAACTGGTAGTTTATTTTTATTGGGTAGTAATGAAGAAGGGAATAGGTGAAGAAGAAAGTTTCCCCCGTCAGAAGCAGCTCAGTTAAAGCCCTATCCTCAAAATGTAGAAAAAAATCTTGCAAAGTTAAAATAACTCAATATTGAAACTCTGAATGTTGTCTTCCTGTTGTTTGTTTCTTTTGACAGGCTTTGCCTGCAAAGTGCTTTCACAGTATGCTGTGTAGTTGGCACTGTCTCACCCGCAAAACCTGTGTATTGTGGCTGTGTGAATACTCTGTATGTGGCAGTCTCTCCCAGTACTGAGTGGTGTTTTTGCAGGGGCTCCGGTTTCAGTCCAGATACCTCACTGAAGAGCTGCAGAGGATTTTCACCGAGGACACGGACTCTGAAGCTGAAGTGTTTGAGGGCTTTGCTGCAAACGAGGTGCATGTGAACAAGAAAGAAGTTCTGGTAAAGGCAGTCACACCTACATGTGAATGTATATGTTGACTTCTTTTTTTGGTCTCTTCTGTGTAAACCTCATGTTCTTGTAGGAATTTTTATGATATACTGTGACGTTCTTTTTTCATGCTGAATTAAAAGGCGTTGTCTTGAAAGAGAAAGAATGCTTTATTTAATGTAGCATCACATTAGAAATGAGAACTACTTCCACTGCTTGTAGATTTTACTGGGCAAGATTATTCTTCTGGAGACAGCCATGTCTGTATCCCAGACAATACTAATATGTGGATGTTTTGTTGATCTCTGCACAGGCAGGAGTTACATACTGTGAACTTGTAAAAAGATGTAAATTAAGGTGAATTTATGGTGGTGCCTTTGGGTGGAAAGACTGCTGTCTAGAACTAGTGATTTAAAAATTACCTCCCTTGTGTCAGAGCCAATAATGTAACGTGGGACTTTTCCTGCCTCTAGATGGTGAAGACAGACTTGAGTGATGAAGAATGCGATAATTTGCTGGATAATGAAAAAGAAGAGGAGGAAGAGGTGAAGAAGGTGGTTTCCCCCAAGAGAAGAACCTTTGGCCTTCGTGTTGCTTTACAGTTTCCCACCAGGAAGTCATCTGAGAAAAAAGTGCCTGAACAGGCTTTGTCTGATTTACCTCTAAAGGACAGTGAATCCCTCACACCTGTTTCAAAAGAAATAAGCCTCAAGCGGTCGGACAAAGTAGAGGGCTCTGCTTCAGAGTCTGAAGAAGACATTAAAGAAACACAGGAGGAAAGTTCCAGTGCACTGCTTAAGAGAGCCATAAATATTAAGGAAAATAAAGCCATGGTAAGACTTAAGAGGAGTGTTTTGTTCTGATATTTACATGCAATTGCTTAGCCTTAGCATAGTAGAATTTTAGGGTCCCTGCTGGTGCTGTGCTGGAACTTTGGGATAAATCTTACTGTGAATTTTTCTACCTGGGAAAACCCTAGAGGATACTCAGCACTCAGACGTTTACCCCTAAAATAACCTCAAGTAGGGATTAGCCTGGTAAAGTTTAAAACCAGAGTAGAACCAAGAATTTTTAATGTGGCTGTAAACAAAGTTACAAATAAGCAAGTTTTGTAGCCTTCAGAACATGTTAGAAAACCAGCTGGTCCTTCTAGGTGGTTTATGGTGTTGTTTGCACAATAATGTTTCTACTTTTTGTTTGTGTGTGACAGATCTGCTGCAGTTACTGATTAGAAAGCCAACTAAAAACTGCTGAGGATGAGAAATGTAATTTTTCAGTTGTGTGGGATGTGATTTTTACAGTAATGCTTTACTATATAACTGCTGAACGTGTGTGTATGTGTGTGTAGGTGCGGAAAAGAGCAACTGATCATTTCCTGATTTTTTTCCTCTATTATCCAACATGCCACCAGCTCTCTTTAATTATCATGCTGCTATGTAATCCGAACTGATGTTCAGTCTTTAGTAACTCCTTCAGTTTTTCTGTGTTTCAGGGAAAGTTGCAGCTTCCAAGCAGTGTAGGGGATCAAGCAATACCTCTTAGTGTGGGCCTGCAGCTCCTGTGTAAAAACTTGCTTCAGCTTTGTACGTGTGCTTCTAATCTGTCGTGTGTCCCCACTGCTGTTGTGTTGGTCTTGCTGCTCCTTGGTCCTTCTCACCTTCCACTCTTCCTTGCAGTTCAACCTCTGTGAAATTCACTGGCATCCTAGGAGCAGTACTGTAATGGCTTTAAATAGCTCTTAATAAATGCCACACTGAAGTACTTACTGAGAAATACTGTATTCAGCTTTTAATCTCTTGATGGCTGTGGCAGTCTCAGAGAGCTAGCAGCTTGGCTCATCCCCACTACCACTGGCTTTTCAGAAGTTAGCCTCATTCTTCTGGAATTCCAGAACAGGTCAGTGTTTTTTTTGTACCTATCAGCCACTGCTTCTGTGGAAATGTACCTCCAAGACATCTTGTACAAGGTGCAGTAAATCATCATGCTGCTGAAGTACTTCTGATGCTATACATGATCAGAACATGCATGCACTGGGGGAGCTGCCAGTGGGGCTTAGTTGCTCTCTGACTTTGTAATGAGTGTGTATCCAGTGTCTGCACTGATTAAGGGGACGCTGAGCTCCCTGGCAAAGAGCACAGATGTATCTGCAGTCAGTAAAAGCTCACTGGGAACATCTTACTGTCTTCTGGCACCCTGTCTTTCTTTTCTCCCTCCTATCAAATAAACTTAATTTCTCGTTATCAATCATTACCATGTTGTAATGCACTCCTTTGGTGTTTTTTTGACAAGATACTATGTAAATCTGACCAGTTCTAATTCCCAGTAAGAATTAGTGGGAACTATGAAGTTAGTATTGTTGGCAGAGTTTTTGCTCGTGGCAGAGTAAGTGACCCCCTTTTATGAGCCCCACTTTATTTAAGTGCTTCCATAAAAGTTCCTTGCTCATGTTTAGCTGTAATTTGAAGTGCACATGAAGAATGGATGGTAGGTGTTGTTGCTTTTTTTGCAAGTTGCAGTGAGTTTTCAATGTGACATCACTTGATTCCAGCTTGCCCAGCTGCTGGCAGAACTGAATTCCATACCGGACCTGTTCCCAGTGAAAACGCCCAGCTCAACTCCTTCAGTAAGTTCCCAGTACTGGTTGATGGTGACAGTAATTTTTGTTAGACTTAAGATTAATGTGTTTTACCAGAAACTTTCAGCAAGTTTGTTCTGGTTTCCTTTGGGTTTGGTCACTTCATTTGTATAGATTTGTTATTGGTCTGAAAGTGCCAGAGATTATGTGAGGAAATGGAATTTTATAAGATAATTTTTGAAGAAACACAAAGAACAAGATGAGATGCTACTTCATAATTTTTGCTCCAGAAATACTGTTGAGATCTTAGACAAATGTCTGTGTATGTGGGAATAAGGAAGAGTAGTTGCTTTCCTTTGGGTTCAGATCCTGTTAATTTTCCTCTTGTAGGGTTTTCTTCTAAAATCCAGTAGAGCTATGCTCATGAAGTTGAACCATTCAACACAAACAGAAATGACACAGTAGTTATTTCAATTGACTTTTCTCAGCTTTAAGCAGAGGGGTGTCAGCTCTTCTTTCTCTGTAGTGTAGCATTTTTCCATGTGTATTATAACAAAAGATTAAAAGATTTGAGGAAGCCTTGAAGGACCGTGTCTTTGGTGGAGTTCTGTGATGTTAATTGGAATGGAATTTGATGTGAAGGTGTGATGTTTTAAAAGTAGCAAAAGTGTATAGGGAGTTTATTTGGTGGGGTTTGGCTTAATAAATAAGGAGTAGGAGAACCGTAGATCAATTCATGATAGTACAAGTGTGGTACAGACATTTTCAGGTTGTTTCTAGTGTTTAACACTACAAACATAACTGAAAAGACAATTACTGGAATTTTCTTCTTTGTAGAAACAGAAGAAAACCCCAAGGAGGACATTTTCTGAAGGCCAGATAACACGTCGAATGAACCCAACCAGAAATGCTCGTCCACCAGAAAAATTTGCCTTGGAAAAATTTACTATGTCGGCTGTCAAATTCGCAGAACACATTCGTAGCTACAGACAACAAAACCTCTTGAAGAGACTCAGTGTGGTATTTGCCAGATTTTGATATCCCTGGTAGTCAGGAACTAGGAAACATTTAAATGGTTGGCCAGCACTTAAACCAGATGTCACATCCTACGTAAAGTTACTGAAAGTCTTTGGTTGGGATTAAGTACAGAAGAAGTTATCGGCAGGCCTTTCTGTCTCATCTTTCACCTGTTAAGTGGGCTTTACTTGTGACCAGTGTTATTCATACATAACAAGGCACTTAACTTATGGTCTGCTAATAATTCTTCATCTGGAAATTGCTAGAGCCTGTAATGTACGAGGTCTTGGAGTGGCAAGGCAGTGGGGTGGTGGAGTTGGCAAAGCAAATCTTCTCTGTTACCAGACTCAGGAAAAAAGAAAGGCAAAAATCCTTCTCTGGAAATAGCAGAGGGAAGATGTGAGTTTATATGGCTGAACTGAGAATGAATTAAGGGAATCTGCACCAGCAAACTAATGCATAGGCTAGTAACTGAAAAGTTGTAGGTTTTGCTCTTTCCTATTTTTAGAAATCTGGTTTTTACCTCCTCTAGCTTATGCTGGTCTTGCTTATATTTTCTGTATAGCCCTTACGAGAAAGACCTTTTAGGTTTGAATCCTTACAGCTGGATCCCAGTTCTGCTTGTTGGAACAAGTGCTGGGCATAGTTAAAGCATTATAGAGGGAACTTGGCTATTAGAAGGAGAGGAGTAGCACCAAATGACAACCTGGGCTGGTAAATGACTGTTTTGGACAGAACAGAACTGATCTTGAGTAAAGGACAAATGAGGTCTTCAGGGACAGGTATAGGGAAGGTTAAGAATCAGATGAGATTTATTCATGAATAGGGGTCAAAGAGAATGGTATGTAGAGGGAAAAACAACCCAATTGTGAGTAGAATACTCTCTTCCAAATATCAGGTTAATAAGAAAGGGCTGGGTATGGCAGGACTAACCTAAAACTTCAGTAGAGGTTTTTTTTGGAGGATATTAGAGATTGTCATTGGAGAAAGCAACTAGAGAACATACAAGGAGATTGAAGGAGGAAAACATGGGAAGGCAGATGTTCACAGTTCTTAATTTTGAGAGGGAAGAAATGGAGTATGAAGAGTTGTAATGGAGGAGGACAGGAAATGCAAAGAAATGTTAGCAGTAAAATATGTCAGGGATTTGTGCAAATAGAAGTAGTAATGATGGAAAGGAATTAAATAAAACAAATAAAAAGTAGTAGAAAAAAGATTATGGAGGAGAGGGAGAGAAAGAGGCAGGGATGATTTGGAAACTATTACCTGTTCTTCCAGTGGTGCATGAGCCTGTAGTTTGCCAGTATGCAGTGGAATGAAGGAATTTGTCACCAAGTGTGGTGACAGAGGCTTCATGACATCAGACAAAAGGTATTGAGATGAGTTTATTTAGCAGGGGGATTGTGGAGTACGCAAAAGGAGGAGATCATCCAAGTATTCATCTCATCGTCCGGTAGAAGACATAACTGAGGAGGACTTGGACAACATTGCAATCACTGTTAGAGACAAAATCTATGACAAAGTTCTAGTAAGTGGTTGCCATATTATTCAGCGTGTCTCTGTGCTTGAAAAGAAAAATCTCTCACTATTTCAGTGGTGTTTGCTAAAAGGTGTCCTTTCCTGAGGCTCTGGGGAGTTCGGTTCATCATTATTATGTCACACAAGTATGGCTTTGAAAGCTTTGCCTGATTTCTCTGGGCTTGGCTGTTGTGGTTGATACTCCCCACTGGCTTTTTGCCTCTAAAAAGTGTTTTTGTGCCACAGAGCTATTAAGTTAAGTTTACTGTAGCTATTACTTGCCACTGGTAAGAGTTGGCATCCTTTTTGTCCCTCACTCTAACAAAAATGTTGTGTTGTATCATTAAATAGTAGTCATCCCTGCTGTTCTTTGTACACCTAGAAATGAGATTTCTGTACAGGTTGTGTAGTGTCCAGTGTTCTTAATGGAACTCCTCCTTCCTTGCTTTCACTGGATTTGGCTATTATTGATTATCATAAAGATCATCTTACCATGTATGTCATGCTTCGTGGTATTGGCAGGGATGAGCCACAAGATCATTTTCTCAGTAGTTTTAGGTTTTTCCTACGGAGAAGAAAGGACCAGAGCTGTGATTATGAAGTTCATGTAATTTGAGACTTCCAATGCAACTGAAACTTGGCACTGTCTCTGTAAAAGTCCTAGCATTGTTATATGATTTATCATAGTAACAGAACTTGCTCTTCATTGTTTAATTTGACTTCGGTTTGAAGTTTGTGCTTATTATTATTAGGAAAGATCATCAATGGGTGTTTAAGATGTCCTTCATAGAAATGTTTTTCTCTTCCATTCTGCCTTTAGGGTAGTACTTGCCACCAGTGTCGGCAGAAGACAACTGATACAAAGACAATCTGTCGCAACCAGGGCTGTGGGGGAGTGAGGGGGCAGTTCTGTGGGCCTTGTCTTCGAAATCGATATGGTGAAGATGTGAAATCAGCTCTGCTTGATCCAGTAAGTATCATTCTTGAGCCTGGAATGAAAGGGTAATGAACAGAGTTTTGATAGTAATCTGTGATGTTAAGAATATGCTCATGGTAACACGGTGTTCAAACTTTTTTGTCAAGAGCAGATCTGTAGTACTAATAGCTCTGATGTGCTGGCCCAGTGTGGCAGTGGCTGCTCTGTTAGTACATGTGCTTTTATGTGCAGTTGCTGAGCAGCTTGGAGACGCCTGACTTTATGTACTAGCTGGTTAATTCAGTCCCAGGAATTGTCCTGTACCAGCAGGCAGAGAGAGGCAAAGGAACTTGTCACAGTGGGTACCCATCTCTTTCTAGGGAGTTGACTATTGTCAGCCTAACATAGAATGAATGTTAGGCATTACAGATGACTTCAGTCTATTTAAAAATCAATACTGGGCACATCAGAGAACCTGAGGCTTCAGAGTAGGAAGTATTCAAGCACTGAATAATTTGTCTAATCCTGCAAAATTTGGAAAATGTTAATAAGGTTGGCTGGCTGGCTGATACAGGCTTGTAAAACCTTGCTCTGATCAGTCACATGGTGGGGAATCCATACTCGTGTCTCTGAGCAACAGGAAGGCAAATCTAACATTTTTCATAGCTTGCTTTAACCCCCCCTCTCACATTCACACCCCTGCAGGCCTGGATCTGTCCTCCTTGTCGCGGGGTGTGCAACTGCAGCTACTGCCGCCGGCGGGACGGGCGCTGTGCCACCGGCATGCTCATCCACCTGGCCAAGTTCTACGGCTACAACAATGTCAAGGAGTACCTGGAAAGGTGAGAGTTCTGCCCTCTGGTCATTCCTTTTTAAACTGTTACAGCCCTTTAAATAACATTTGACTTCTTGTGCCCTGGGGCAAAGCCTACAAAAGAAGTTTCTTGGATTTCAGATTTTTTCCTTGGCTGAAATCAGCTTATTTAAAGTGAGGTATATTTTCTGTGTAAACAACTAATTTGATTAAAAAATTGAAAGACTTTTGCCTATTTTGAAATCCCTGTTGGTTGGCTGAAGTGCATAGAAGTGCTGTTTTGGAAGTTACCAGCTTCAGCAATGGAAATTTTTGGGGAGGCTGAGTTTCCTAAAAAGCACTAACACTGTTTTCTCATGTCTTCTAGTTTACAAAAACAACTGGCGGCGGATGACAATTGAGAACACTGAACTCAAGCGGTGTCTGCAACTGCTTAATATGTTAACAGTTTGACTTCAGAGGTTTATTACTATGTTTTACATAAAATAGAATTGTAGTGTATAGCATATTCATTTCTGTATTGGGAACTTTTTGATTGATATGGTCTTATGCAAAAGGTCTCTCAGGAAAATGTTTTGGTAGAGAAATCTACATGCACAGACCTATATGTTAAGTGAAATGGCACTCTTGAACCTTGAGTGGTTAATTTTTAATAGAGCTGCACAGCCACATGATGGAGAGCTTGGTCAAAATGAGCAATATTTTTATTTATATAATTGTGCACGTTTGCAGAAAGGGTGTTTAACAACTACCTTCAAAGCATCCCGGCTTCAAAGAAACAAAACACTCTTGTCTACCAGCTCAACCATAAAGATCCATTTTTCCAGCTCTGCTTTTTGAACCTGTTCCACCACCTGTAGTTTACAGAATTTATCCTTGCAAAGAAGGAAAAGGTACTTTCCTCTGAATGCCATTATATTCCAGCCAAAGCTGATGCAATCGACCAGTGGGAGGATGGTTTTTGAAAATTTTATTCCAAAGTGCAATTATTCACCAAAACATGAAAGTAGAAGAGTGTTTAAAAAAGAAAAGTTTTAAAATATCCCAGTAAAAAAAACCAACAATACTTCTCACCAGCAGTTTTTGTGTAGTGCACCTGCTGCCTGAAGCATCTACCCAGCTGTTGTACTGGTCTATATCAGAGTTCAGGATTAATTTTTTTACTTACAGCTCACCCTTAGATATTTTTTCATTTGTACAACCAGGCTTTCAAACAACTTTGTTTAAATGCAACATATTTGTATTGCATGTTAAAGTATGTTAAAATTTGTGTAAGATACACATTTCATTTTATGTAGAGAGAATAAAGACTGATCTAATGAGGAGTATTTTGTGATTCTAACTACACCCTGATGCTGATGTTTCCCATTTACTTTCCCATAGCAGGTGTAATGGTGCTTGGAGATCAATAATCATTATGTGAAGAAACACGTGAACACAACATTGACGGATGAGGAAATAACATAGCCCACATAAGTGCTACATTAAGGATTGTGGGTTTTGTGGGACAAATCTCCTGGCTCCAGCTGAGTCTGAAAAATCTTATCTCCTTTTCCTATCAGGCAGATTGAGAAAGCAGCACACTTTATTGAAAGCTTAGTACAAAACTGCCAGGAGTAAAGCTATTCCTGCCAGAACCCATTTATCTGACTTCTCGATTTTCAGCTTGAAAGTCAAAACATAAGTTGTCCTCCTGCTTTTGCTTTTATTAGCTGGACATTCATGAACATTCTTAGTTTCCCTTAGCTGATCCACTGGAATAGCTTTTAAAAAATGGCATTGCAGAAGTCAGTTCCTGATCCATGCTTCTGCTATGGGCCCCACTGGATGTCCTGTGTGGTGCCCACAGTAATAGTAGCACCTGCTTTACATGATGTTCTGTAGTTCAAGATCAGAATTATTTGTGTTTAAACAATTGCTGAATAGTTAATGCTACATTTGAACATACGACTTTAGATTTGGTTGGTTTAGCTTTACATTGTGTTGGCCTGCTGTGCATCATCTCTTTGTATGGATGCAGAGATGAGTACATAGTATCTGTCTGGACTGTACTTGTGGATTTATCAACATGCCCTTTTACTAAAAGCAAAGACTGTAGTGATAGATGGATAGATGGATAGATATTTTATATATGCAAACACCAACACAAGCCCAAACTGCAGTCACAAGGTTCCTTGATACTTTCCTCATCTCCATAGGAGGAACTGTATTGCCCTTGGAATGACAGATGTCTAAAAAAAAATCCCTGAATCGTTGATGCCCCCATTTCAAAAAGCAACATTCAAATAACATCCTTGCCACTGCTCCATTCCCCCATCCCAACTTTCCCCTTGGGATTTACCTGCTGTAGTAGCAACTCCTTTCCAAAGAGTGGCTTTCCTTTTTATTATATTTGGGTCTGGTGAGGAGTATGGGTAACGATGGTGTTTCTCTTACTGCCACTGGGAGTCACTCACCTTTCTCTAATGAGCTGTAGCTTTGTTGACAGCTTTTCTCAGTTAAAACTAAAATCTCATTTTGACAGCAGGTCTGAATTGTCCTTCCTGAACTAGATGCTTCAGTCTCAGGAAAATACAGATTCAAAAGAACAAAATACAATGTTTGTCACGTGAAGGTTGTTAAAAGAGGGGTTGCAGCTCAACAGGTGAACATGGTTTCCATTCAGGGACAGCCTACAACTGTATTACAGCTACTGCAACAACTGACTGCTTGAAAATCCAGATGAAAAAAATCTCTTAATTCTTACCCTTTGCCCACCTAATTATACCTCATTATACCTCATGCTAATCACAGCATCACTGAGTATTCTGAGTTGGAAGGGACCCACAATACAGGTGTTTTCAATACTTCCTTTATTCTTGGTATGTCTCCCCAAAAGTTTTATAAGCATTATGACCCACCAAATAAAACATTCATAATTCTTTATCTCTGTTTATTTAGAACTGGCAACTTTCAGTCGAGGTAGAAGATAAAAAACAGGATAAAGATTATTTTTGTGGGGTTTTTTTGTTTGTTTATTGGTTTATGGGTTTTGTTGGTAGGTTGGTTGGTGGTTTTTTGTGAGGGTTGGGTTGTGGGGTTTTTTGGGTTTTTTTCCAAATTGCAGTTGTGTAGATTACTTGATCCAGGTTGCCAACATGTGGTAACTACTAACTATTCTGCACCTCTGAGAGCTGCAAAAAAATTCTTGAAGTTAATCTTGGTGAAATTTATAGTTGCTGGAATAGTCTTTAAGCTTCTGAACCTCACTGGGATTAGAGCTGCTGCTTTCCTACAATGCAGACCTTGTTCAGATACACTTAACAGTTATTTAAATGCAGGAAGTATATTTAATGATTAGAACACCAAGCTGGTATGAAATTTAAAGTCCCAGTGACAAATTCCATCAATCTAGCACCATGCCTAAGCTTCTTGGTGCTGTTCATAGGGCCACAGTGCTTTAGTGCAACTCTTGATGCAATTTGAATGCCTAATAGAGTCCCTGAACTAGGAAATAAAGCAATTTAAGTTTATTTCTTACCTTGCATGGAAGGCACACAGATACAGACTCCTTCCCTTGCTGGGTCATACTCCTCCTTGGTCTTTTTGGTCACATCTGCACACCTTATCCAAAGGGCTGTTGTTACTGCTGTGCATTAACAGCTTTAAAAAAAAACAAAACCAAGAAGTGCTTTCAATAATTCAAGATCCAGATAGTAATTTTAATGTCAGAACTGTCAAGTCTGAGACTGTGTGGGGTCTGCCCTTCTCCAGAGAGTGATGGCAGCCCAGCCAGTGTCCTGCGAGGAGCTCCTGGCCACCTTTCTGCTAGCCAAGTGAAGCATTTAGCTCAGTGCCATTGGTGACCATGCAGAATTTGAGCTACACTGTTGCTCCTGTTACTGTTACTCCTGTGGTGTTCAGGATAAATGCAAACATACATTCACAGATTCACTGAATATTATGAGTGGGAAGGAACCAACAAGAATCATTGAGTCCAACTCCTAAATGAAACATATGGAGATTGAGCCCACAAACCTCAGTGTTACTAGCACCATGCTCTAACCAACTCAGCTAATATGCTGTGATAGTGACAAGAAATGAGATGTACTGCTTATTTGCTATGCTGCTGAAAGCTTTCCGTCTCCTACTGTGGCAACAACTACACAAAGAGGATTGGGAGACTTGATTTATTTTTCTCCTTAGCCTCATAACTCTTTTATAGAAGAAAATAGAATAGTACCACGGGATATGCACTGAATTAGTTAAATAACAATGGTAGAAAAATTTGCACTCTTAAACCTTTTTTAAACTATAAAATCCAAGATTTATTTCCTTAGCTGCTTTGTCTTCACACTTCTGAGTAGCCTGAAGACAAGTTTGGATTGTTCCCCCTGCTTTCAGGAAAGGATTATTCTGATGATAAGGTGATTTTTATCTTTTTATTTAAGCTGTGATTAACTCTCCAAACAGCATCACAAACATAGCTAACACCAATAGTTAAAGGAAAATGTCTGGCATGGAAACCATATGCTTGGTGCCTTACACACATCACTGCTGACCTGTCAGAAAGAACTGAGGATGGAACAAGCCAGAAAGCCTCACCATTGCTGGCAGCACAAGGTCCTGTGTCCAGATGTCAAGTTTTGAGCACCTCATGAGAAAATCAGTAACCCTAACAGAGAAGCATCAATAGCTCCTGCCTTAACTGTATGTGAACAGATTTCAAATGTAAAGAGTCCTTTTGTCTACAGAGAAAGTACATGGCTGAAGTCACCAGAAAGTGTAAGCTCATGTAAGTATAAGGTGATAGTTTCAATGGAATTTGTTTCCCTCATGTCTGAAATCAATTGTAGAAGGTGATCAGCATGGGATGGGCTGCTGGCAGCAGAGAATGTGAGTGTGCTCAGTCCTGTTAAATCTGCTGCCTTGGGGAGAAACCTGAACTTCACCATCAGAAATTAGCAGAATTTGCCAACAGCTGATGGTTTCTTAAATGCAAATTGTCTGATACCATCTTTGGTATTTAAACTTCATATTTAAAATTCCAATACGCCAGAGCAAAGTGCACATCAGGAACATAAGGGATTCTGACAGAGACCCTGAATTATGGCATAATGCAGCATGAGGTATCAGAAGAATTTCCTGTTCCAAACAATGCCTGTTTCATCCATGTCTAACCACTGCTGGTTTCAGGCTAAGGGAAAGGAATCCCACAAAATGCTGAACACACAAGCCTAGTTCTTGGGACAAAGGGAGGTGACGGAGCCTTTGCTTTAGCAAAGTGCTTGGCGTTTCTACAAAACCCACTTCAAAGGAAAACTGACTTTCATTAGGACAAAATTTGGGAGAAATATGAATGGAACAAGGCTGCTGGGCTTAAATCACTGGAACAGCTCTGTATAGTAGCTAAACCCTGTCACTGTGGGGTACTTACCAGTGAGCAAAGCTGTGTGTGTATGGACATGCTGGTTAGTCCATGTGTCTGGCACAACATCACAGAAGAGTGTGTACTGCAGCACTTCCATGTGAGCAGAAAACATCAGTTCTGCCTTTGGAGAAAAATAAGAAGCATACATAAAGAATAACTATTCTTTCATTTCCAAAAAAGCCACAAAAAGCCCTGAAATAAGTAATTTGCATTCAGATGGAGGTCCAGCTGTTTAAAAGACCTGTGGATCTCTGAAAGGAAAAGGTTCATCACTTTACTCTTCAAGTCAAACAAGAGCATAAGGTCTCCAGGCAATAGTCTTCCTGCATGATTTCTGCTATGTTAAGCTTCTCAGGAAGCACTTCCAGAATATAATCCAGGACATTCTTAACCTGACCAGGACAATACAACAGAGCCAATAGAAATCCCAGCAATCAACTCTTTCCTGACTCATCTACTTTCAAGTCTGATTTCTTCAGAAGAGCACAAATATCTCATTTTCTTAGATAAAAACCAGAGATGCTCCCTCCATCACCTTTGCTTTCTTCTTGGCTACAGTATTGAGAGGAATGACTGCAAACCAATTAACACTTAGTAGCTTCTATTTAGCTTTACAATTTGAGGTAACATTGACCCTTGAAGCCTACTAACACATTGTCCCTGGACTTGGGATGACTGTTTTTACTAGGATACACCCTGGAATTGTCTTGATTTTCAGTCAAGTGTGATCAGTAGTTTGTATTTCTCTAGTACCTAATAGCTTCCATCACCCCCTCCACCTCCCACAGTCCTTGCTGTCTCAGGCATTAGCCAAAACATAGCACAGGCACACACAGGTCTCACCCCCAAAAAGGGTCTCTCTCCCTGCAGGCCTGCTCTGGAACTGAGACAGAACATAAATGAAGAACAATTCATAACAGTACTAATGAGCAGGAATTAAATCACAGCATTACTGCAGCTCAGCCTCTGTCTCAGCCCTAGGTTTGGCAGACTTAATGATGACTGCCTTATGTTATAGTCCAGACTCCCTAAAGTGGATGGGAACTGAGTGTGAAAAGCACAAGCTCCCCCCAGGAGATGAAGCAATGTTTGGCTACTTGCATGCAGAGTTGTCACATTTCCTCCTGCAAAACCTCTATGATCGGGATAAAAGGGAAAAAAAAAGAGTTTTCAGAGGAAAATGAGAGTAAAGAAAGGGATGGAGAAATGCAGAACCGGAGTGGCAGTCACAGGGGACTTTTTAAGGATAAGGAGCTGAAGGCTCAGTCTTATGATATGCCAGGCTTTTGGGCATTTGGACATAATTTTTCAGATTTACACTCAGAAAGATGGAGAAGATGGGAGGATCTGAAAACAGAACTAGCTGAGATTTGTGATTACATTTTCCTTTCCTGCTCCTTTATTCATTTATCTCTTAAGCATAGCACCAGTGATATTCCATGCTTAAAACCCATCCTTTTAAATTTTTCTGGAATGAGTTTGGCTATGTATCTGTGTGTCTGACATATATTGACTATGAACAGAACTACAGTGTCCCAGTCAACTCCATATTAAGTGACAAAGCTTATCCTTGTATTAGGGTTGGTTCCTTTAACCCAACATCTGATAGTTTATCAGTATTAATGTTATTGTTCTGCTAGACTCCAGGTTCTCTGTTGAGGTGCTGAGGCTAGGAGATGGTCAGACACCCTCCTTGGCCAGGATTCACCTCTTTGGACTAACCAAAATCTGCAACTCCCTGAAAACCCCCTCTTCCTCTACTGCTTGCAAGGGAAGTCTTGGACCAGCCACAAGGCTCCTGCTCAGATCAAGTGCCCAGGAAGGGAAGCAGTGGGAGAGCCTGTGCTTGGGCTGCTCTTCCTGGCATGGAAAGCCTGCACACCACTGCTAGGCTGTGCTGTGAATGCAGCAGAAAAAGTCAGCACTACAGGCTAGGAGGGACTTCCTATGCTTGGCACAAGTGAGAAGGTGTAGGAAAGCTAGCCTAAGGAGTTTTATCATGCAGGAGATGGGAACAAAAGGCAGAAGTCAAGACTAGACCAGCCAATTCAACCAACACACCTTTTTTCTAGTAAGTTATTGTTGCTGTACTTGCCTATAAAAGTATACCAAGAAAAAAATAGTGAGATCCATATCTTGTTTCCTGTGCCACAATAAACTCAATCTGAAGAAGAAATTGGTCCAAATGTCTTCCTAGTGCACTACCTCTTGGCCAGGCTGGTGCATTATCACAACCATTAACACTCATCTGATCTTTTCTAATTTGATGGCTTTTTCCCCTCCTCCAGAAATTAAGCCTATTGCTGAAATAGCACAGTAAGATGTGTATTCCACCTGTCATTAACAGCACTGACAACACACTGGATGAAGAACTTCACCTCTTTCACTGCAGACTGGTCTTATCCCTCTCCCGTGTATCCTTGGGTTGCTTTTCCAAAGGAGTTTTGAAGCTATTATCTGATGTTGTCAAGAATCCCATCTCAGCATCAGGGTGCAGTCCATACAGTACAGGGCTTTCAGATGGAAGCATTTCAGCTATGTACTGCTGGTATCCATCATAATCAGATTTGGTGGGGCTAAGGAACATGGTGCCAAGTTGCCCTTCAAGCTGTAGGAAAAGGATCAATAATGTTAGTGGTAATGCTGACACCAGGAAACATTCTTCTGTATCTACCAAGTTTCAGAAATTTATTTGAAGTCTGTGGACACGACAGCTGCATGTTCTGATACAATGGAACAGGGTTACCACAGTATTCCCAGCATAGTTACTATTTGCATAATTTCCGGACACTTCCATTTTCTACGGGGTTCCTTCTAATTTCATGAGGATGCTTTGCATTTATTTTAAGGACTGTCACTACTGAAGCAAGTGAATTTTAAGTACTGAAAGTCTGCATCACCTCAGCAGCCAAGCAAGGATTCTTATGCCATTTTGCTACTCCATCTCTCCAAGTGTAAGAGTCTTGCATGGAGTTTTTGTACTGCTTCTGTGGCCCCAGTGAGATAGACAGTGGTAATAATTTTGACAGGAGAAAAAATTAAGGTCTCAATCAGCTCAATATTGAGCCAAATACTATTAACTGCACTGTTCTTATAGAGCAGGAAGACCCTAACTCTGTCAGAATATTTAAGATAAGGCATGGGACTTTGGAGCAGATCAAAATTTATGTAGACAGGACTTTGGCGAGATGTACTCTCAGTGGGCTGACCTCCTAAATAAAATAAAAAGTAATAAATAAGAATAAAAGCTGTAGCTGTCACATTTATTTTCTAGACTTCCCCATCGCCTGTGCTGTAAGAACTTCACTGAATTCAAAGAATTTCTCTGAACTTATTGTCATAGAGCTGTCTGCAATTTAAAAGAGGCTTGAAGTTGTTTTTGCTGAAAAATATTTCTACCTCTAAGTGGTACTTTTCACAAAAGCTATTTCTTCCTAATGCAGGGTCCACTCCACAAAATCACAATAACATTTAACAGCTTCTGGCATTTAGAACAGTCTACAACAAGCTACTGCTCAAAATAACACCAGTAAGCACTTATTTCTGAAGTCATTTTGGTTCTGCAACCAGCCATTTACCTGTGCCTGAACTTGCACCACTAACCTCACCCACAATAAGCTGTATCTTAAGACGCCACTTTGAAGTAGTGCTGAGGCTTTGAAAAAGCCCTGTTATTTACCTCGAGTGGAAGATCAATTCTGTCAGACAATCTGTACTTACCAGTCTCTGCTGGCACTTAAATCACGTTTTACTGCATCTGTGGGAGTTGTGTGCACAGAGGGAGGCTGTGGGTTACTGGGGTATGTAGCAGGAACTTGCCGCCCTTCTGTCTTTATGACTGGTGAGGTCTATCAAAGCTGAGGTATAGTGAATTATTCTAATGGACCCTGCGGAATGAATTTGTAGCTAAAGAAACCTTATCATAAGGCAAGAAGTTAAAAAGACAAGGTAATCTCCCCAGTGAATACAAAGCCCCACCACTGATGAAGGACCATCCTATTTGCATTCATTTGGCTGCCAGTCACTGAATGATTTTCTGGTTTTGCTGTAATTCTGGGCTTTAACTTTTCCCAATTACAGCAAGAAGCTAAGAAAGATACCTCACTGTATAAAATACCAGTGGATCCACGCTAAGGGTTGGGTCCCTAAACTTTCCAAAGGCCATACAAATAGCAGTGATTCTGTTCAGGTTTCACCACCTATACTTATTTTGCAATTATTTGAATGAAAGTTCAGGCTTGTGAAGGTTAATGGACTACCTAAAGTAGTAAAGCAGTAATTCTTTACTTATCCATAGGCTAGAGGCAGAGCTGGAGCTGGCAGGATGAGCTTCCCACCATGCCCCCATGACCTCAGCTGTCATGTGGAGAAATCAGCCTCTTTTGAGGTCAGGAGTACAGTGGTGTTTAGCCTTTCCATCTCCATGGCAACTTACTCTTGGGCATCTTCTTCTGAGCAGTTACTTCCAATTGCCTTCATCTGAGGGTGGCTCTTTGACATATGAAATCCTGGTTCTTCGGGACCAAGGAGACACCAGCCTGCTCCTCTCGCTCACAGCCAAAAGCTGTGAGCTTCAACCCACTGCCAGGGGTGAAAGGGGCACTTTTCCCAGCTTAGCCCAGCTCCACAAATGGCTTGCTCACCCATAACATGATAATTTTTATTTTTCATTTCCTCATAAATGAGCTTTTTACCTTTGGACAATGAAAAATAACAAATCTGGAAAGGGTGCTTGAAAAAAATCTCTTGGCAGTTTTTAGCAAATTGTGTACAACTGGTTCTCTAAAGTGGCTTCTTCTGTAGCTAAGGAGAAGCATACAGGGGTTTAAAATATTTACATATATATAAAAATACATATAATACATATATATAATAATATATTATACCTCTGTATTATGTATGTGTGTACATATATACACATACCTCTGTATAAACATTCACATTTGTTATAACTGTGTATATGAAAATCGATTAAAGCAGTTTCCATGCGAAACTTCTTAGAACTAAAGTTAAAGCAATATTTTGTTTTTGTAGCCTCAAAACTTGTAGCATTTGCTGCTGATTGGAAGCAATTTTGGCAATCTGGCCCTTTGGAGTCATGGATGCTCCACATACACTTCTGTCCAGAATTAAAACTCAATAATGAAATTTGAATAATTCAATATGTCAGCTGGTGATAACCTGGCAAAGCTGCAGAAACAGATGTGTGAGAGGGTAGTGGAAAATTAAAAGCAGTCTTACAAGCTATTTTCCCTATTTTAGAAAGAGTGAGATGCGAGGAAATGTATAACATTTCCATTATTTTTTTGAGGAAGAAAATGTGCAAAGAGTAAGTGTAAATTCTGAGGATAGTGCCATTCTGGACTGCTGAAACTGATGAGTCTATCAGTTACCCTGATTAAAGTGCAGTTCCATAAGAGAGACCTTCTCATGCCTACCCAAAACCTTCTAAATGGAAGCACCTTAAAATAGTTTTCTTGGGAAAATGGAAACCTAACTGTATCCACTTAAGCTCACTATACAAGCAGTGTTATAAAGCACTGAATTCAAGTTACAAATTAATGGTACTTGCAAAAGTAGACAAGCAGGATGCCAACTCAAACTCTTTCAATGACAATCTGCTCATGATAAACCATCGACAAATTTATTCCCCCACAGCCAGACAAGACCTTGCCACAGGTGGGGCCACCTGGATGAGAAAATGTGTGGTGGTCTCTTTCCCTTAGGTTAAACGTACTGTGTACCTGTTCAAGAGCTTTAGGCACATATGAAAGTCCTCACCAGGATTTTCAGGCTGAGGAATTCTTGCAGACAGATCACTGAATAAAACAAGTCAGCTGCTTAAAGGACAAACCAAGGCTGTTCAGAATAAATGCTGTTAGGAGACATAAGAGAAATCCAGCGAGTTCCTTTCAGAAAACTTCATGGTTATACATTTGCATTGATGGGTTTGGTTTGTTCAGCAAATAACATTAAAACCAGATTTCTTTTATTTCAATCCAGTGAGAGGAATCTGTGCAAAAATAGCAAATCTGTGACTAAAATTCAGTAACAGTGTAAAATGTATTATCCAAGCTTTATGTTTTCTACCTTAGCCCTTATAAAAAAACTTTAGAGAAAACCACATTTTCAAAACACCACATGATATGAGAGAACATAACTTCGTGAACAAGTGCATACATTTTTCCCATACAGATCTTTAAAAACATAATCCTCATGTGTGACAGGAAGGTAACCTACTGTGCCTTTCTTGAAGGAGAAATAAAAAACTTGTATCTGATTGCAGTCTTTTATATCTCCTCACTAGGGAACATTTAGTTACTGAAATTCTACATTATTTGAAATTGGGAAGTATTCAAGAACTTTGGTAAAAATGGAATTAATATTAATCCCATTACTGCTACATCATATAAGCATTAATTTTATTGTAGAATTCTAGTCATAATGCCACAGTGAAAGCATGTGGTTAAGGGTGGTAAAACATTTTATTCAAGGAACCACTGTCTTTCTCTTTTATTTGGCTTCACAGCATTTGAAGCTTCTTTTTGCTCCCCTTTGGTTTGCAAAATATGCCAGTTTGTGATGAAACCTTCGCAGACAGGAACCTTTAAGCCCTTGGGGGCAGTATTTGCCTCCCAACAGTTCGAGTAAAAACTTAATTATAGGCTTTAAATATTGCATGATGTGACAGAACAGAACAAGTAAAATAGCTGCAGCTATTCCAGCCTGCTTGCTACATAAACTTGTACGCAGCAATCTGATTATGTGAAATGCTAATCCATCTTTATTTTAAACTAGTTCAAAGAAAATGAAAAAAAAAATTAAAAAACCCCAAACCACTGGAATATAATATGCAGTGCTGCATGCTTGTGATGAGAAGGCTGGACAGAGAATCCCTGTGAAAAATGCCAGCAACTTGGATTTAGAACAAAACGTTCTTGCAGTCAGAATAAATAAACCTGCTTTTCTCTTTGTCAGCAACAAAAACTCATTTAACATTTTTCTAATTTCATATATATTTATCTCAAGAAATTGCTTTTTCCTTTGTCTTTTGGAAGAGTATATCAATATTCTAATGCAGTACAAGCTCATTCAGCTGCACACTTGTGGGACATTGATTATACTGGGATAATCAAAGCTGGTGATATAAAAGGGACATTTTTGTGAGTGTGAGAAAACTGCGGAGTTTGCATTAGAAATATTTTGGGCTGTCAGGTTCACATAATTGCCATTGTGCTCTATACAAAACTGGTCTGTTGTACCCAAAAACCCCACAGAGCTGTTTCTGGGTGGGTGGATAATGGAGAGGACAGAATCCACTTCCCCCACAACAACATTCAGTGACAACTCCTTGAACATGTGTGTGGGGATCAGAAGGTGGAGAGCAAGAGTGGGACAATGAGGCAGGATCAGGCATCCTGTACTTCATGTGAAGAAAACTAAACTATTGCACGTTGGTGTGCTGGAGTTTGTCTTAGCAGCAGAAAAAAACTGAGATACAAGATTAAACATTTTTGGGAAAACACTATTAACTGGTGGAAGCTATAACAGAATGGTGGCAATTTCCACTAGCTGATGGGCTAGCTCAAGTAGGTAGCCCAGTTTATGCTTTCTGGTCAATGCTTAATTGTCTTCAGGAAGTTGTTCCCAAAGGACAATTGGAAGATTATATATATATGATTTATATATACATATATATGTATGTATATATGAACAAGGTCATAGACATGCATACATATATAGGAACATACATTTTAAAAAACTATTGTCTTATTTCTCTCTATATATACTATTATATGTTATATACTATATATATACACTATATTATATATATACTATACTATTATATATAGAATAGTATAGATATTATAGTAGTGTATATATATATTCTATACTAGTATATATTATATACTATATATATCTATACATATATATATTTCTCTCTTCTTACACTTATCTCTCTTATTATACCTTCTCTCTTATTACACTTATTTCTCTCTATATATTTCTCTCTCTTTATGTTAAAAAAATCCTTATGAAGCCACAGGGTAATGAATCACTAAGCAGTACAATGAGAAAGGCCAATAAGCAATATTACCAGGAGGAGAGAAGAAATAATTCTTGCTCTTACAGACCTTTCTAGCATTCCCTGCTATCAGAATCCTCCCTCTCATTAATTAGCAAAATGAATTATCCAGCTTATGAATTGTGGTTTGAAAAGAACAGCTTAAAGCAGCAAGATTTATTAGCAAAGAAAACGAAGGGTTAGAATAGGCTGATTTCATAGACTTGTTTTCTAAATGGGAAGCATTATTAAATCATCATAATAAAATTAAGCAATTATTTCACTATGACACCAAGTACGACAAAAAGGAAAAACAGCTTGAAGTCCTACTAACTAAACAAAGGTTAGTAGGGGTATGAAGACAAAAAGAAAATTAATTTCTCAGAGTAAATACAAGCTGGAAGATATGGAGAAAACCAAGGGGTGAGGCTTCTGTCTCTTTTTTTTTCTGTAAAAATATCTCTGAAATTAATTTAAATTACTAAACTGGATCTATTTATTCAATAATATCCTATATCATTTAGTAACAACTAATTACTGCCTTTTATATAAGCATTTCACATTTCCACGTACAGAACTTGCACAAATGACCTCAACTCAGTATTTAAACTGCACAAGTATGAAACATGCTGTAGCTCAGAGAAAAATCACTCTCGTATCCTTAACTTTGACTCAAGGGGAACATTACTGAGAAAGTCACAACAAGGTGGCATCCTTAATACATAATAATGACACATTCAGGAAATGCACCATTATTTATACATGTGACGTGCTGTAAATTGCTTCCATCATCAGAACTAATTGTAGTGATTATTAATGCAGTGTTATGAACTGTCAGAATTGCTGTTTGTAATTACATTTGTGCAAATGCTTCATTACCTGCCTAATGAATTTGGCATATATGCACATGTAAACCCCTGTTTTTGTTAACGTAATGAAGGGCATTTTTTTCCCCCTTAGCTACTGATGTGGAACTGGTTTGACCTATATTACAAAGTTCAAGCATCCAGTGCCAGAAAAAAACCCACAACCCCCCCCACTCCCTTTGATCTATTTTCATACTCACCAACAGCATCATGTAACACCAGCTACTTAAATAACAGCTTCAGGGAAAGAGCTGTGTCCCCCTTACTCAGTATAAACATGTGATTGCGTGGACATGACCTTGATGTGTGGTTACCTGGCCACTTCTTACCTCCTTGTGGGCTCTGAGCTGTTGCTGAGGACAGGGACACAGATGGAGATCTCAGGTACTGATCGATCAGGTACCTTCCATTCCAGCCCCGAGGGCCAAACTTCACTCTCCCAGGAAGACAAGTGTGAAAACTGCACAGAGGGAAAAGGATGCTTTTAAATTCCCCTTCTCTGGCACACAGACCAAGTTTATGCTGTCAAAGAAAAAAGGAGTAACTTACACACTAACAATAGTGAGCATTGCCCAGAACTGTGCCAAAAAAGACCACTCACAAGGCTGGAGTTGGAAGGAGAGTGAGAAACAGGTTTCTAAATAATCAGAGGATATTGGGCAGTATTTTTTGCAGTAATTCCCAGATGCAAAATTGTTGATAGTGACATTTTATTCCCAAATGTCCATTAGGAAAGGAGAACTGTTGTGCTACTGAAACCAACAAAAACGGATTACTTACCTAGAAATCTATAAATATTACTCAGATAACCACTAAAGTTTCTTAGCTAAATCATCCATAGACTTTATCCCGAGAAGAAAATTTACTAGTTTAACATTTATTAAAAAGCCTTCAAACTCATTGAAATTTTACACCATTTCCCAAAGAGTCATGAGACTTTGAAATTTAAGTTTAATACTTTTCTTTTTGCCTCCATTATTTATTGTGTTAGTAGAGAATTTCAGCAGGATGATATTCAGCACTGGGCTTCAGCTGGTTTTTAAATTATTTGGCATTTGCCTGTAAAACCTGCGGAAATTAATCCTTATGTCTCTGACATTTTTCTATATTTTATCCTTTAGATTAAGAAGTAATAAGCATAACAAAATTAATTTCAATACCCTTGAAAATAATGATGCATGGAGGGAATATCAGAGGTATAAACTCTAGTCTTTCTAAAGGAAATAGATCATCCTGAGCTGAACAACATGTAGCAGAATCCGGGCCCACGTGAAGCATTTTATGTCTGACAAAAAACCTCCTTAAATCAGAATGCTGAGTTCAACCATGAAAAATACGACACAAGTTTCTACCCTGAATAAAACCACAAACCCATGAAATGTATTCCATCTGAATTAGGTGTACCTTGATTTTTGTATTGTAATTTAAAAAAAAAAAAATACCTTAAGCAGAAATATATTAAAGACAGTGTCTGCACAGGAATTTGTGGTAAGCCACAAAGACCCGTGGCTCAGAATAGTGGGTGAGAAAATAGAGTTCTCTAAAATATGAAGCTTAGAAATTGGTTAATTCGAATATATACATATATATTATTTTATTAAACACAGACTGAAGCAGAACAACAATGTATATGAACCACCTTTATTAAAATCTTTGTCTAAATTTTTCAGCTTTCCATTAAAAGTATTACAATAGTAAGTTACAAAAAAAACTGAAAAAAACGAAATGCTGTACTAATCACCAGCTGCTCAGCTACAAAACTGCAGCTATTCTTCCTTTCTCACAAATATCTTTACAAATCATCCCACACCATCAAAATCAATCCATTTGTAGCTCTGACACAACTTCTTTTCTTTCCTTTTATCTTCCCCCTGGCATTGGCTAGTATTCCTTTTTAAAGGAACTCTTACCCTTTTCACAACCCAGCTCTGCCCCCGTGTGTGCTGTGCTCAGTGTGAATACCTTGCTGGGAGGTGACAGTGTGCAGTTAAGCTGCCTTCATCATGGTCTGCTTTGCTGATGTGAACAAGCTGACTGCTCCAGCACTGCCACTGCTGCAGGGAAGCTGACTCACACTGGCCTTGGAGATCTTCCCACACGTTCCTGGGGTAGCACACAGGGATAAGCAGGGATCTGGAGGGAAGGGGGCTGTGCACAATCCGTGATGTGCCTGTTCTCCACATTCTCACGTCTCCTTTCTCCTCCTTCTTCTTTCTAGCCACCAAGCAGAATCTTACAACAGGAAAAAAAACAAACAGCACAAAACACTTGCTCTTTAATTCCTTTCTTTATGCCCGACTGCAGGCACCCATACACTGAGCCATTGCATACCTGAGCCTGAACACACAGGTATGTAAATCCACTCTGTAGGAGAATGATCATGACCATACATTTGGTCAACCCAAATTTAGAGCAGAGCAAAATATACGAGTACCATTGAATGAAAGAGCTCTGACTTTTTAAAACTACAGGTTTTTATCATAAGTGCACCACTGGCTAAAGCTGGTGCAATAAATGCTCTGTCTTTGTAAACATACCTATGCATGTCTATATTGAATAGTACAAATGTTTGTGTTATTGCCACACCTTTCCTGCAGCCCAACGCTCATGGGAAACACAGAGGTAGGGCAGGGCACAGAGGGCTGCCATCCTGTTGGGTTAGTTTGGAATCACAAGAGTCTGAAGTCCTGGTCTCCCACAGAATGATCATCAATGCTACCACTTGTCCCCACAGGGGAAGGAGTAATTAAAGCAAACAACAAAAAAAAAAACAAAAAAACCCCAAAAAAAACAAAAAAAAAACCAAACAAACAAACAAAAAAAAAGCTTACTTTTATCTCGTCAAAACCATAGAGAGCAGCATGGAAATTAGCCAGCATCCTTGTAGGAGGTTCACCAGTAATTTTAATTGAATTTTCTAGTATTCCTTGGGGAATGATGTGCTCTTCTGTGGTTGGAGCTGGCTTAGCACTGATAAAGACACAGAAATCAGGATGACATATTGTATTGCTCAAGGAGTTTCTCCAAGGTTCTGAACCACTCAGCTACTTAGATGAATATTCCATTGAAAAACAGTCAATATGGTTCTTGTACAAAACCAAATAAATTTGTTGTCCTTAAGACATTGCCATTGTGACTTTTTAATGGGCTAATAGTTAAGTCATTGTCATTTCTTGGTATGGATTGAGGTTTCACCATTAGCTTCTAAAATCTAAGGCCTTGATTCTGAAGATAATGAAAATATTATAAACTCAGGGTTAAGTGATCTGTGATTGTGGGTGTTACCACATACAAAGACAAGCATAGCTCAGAAGACACCTGGACTCTCTTTAAGTTCCCTGTAGAACTGGGAAAAAACAAAACATTTCCAAGACATACCAGGAACAAGACAGAAGGCTAGACAGAAAAATAGGTCCAGCTATCTTCCTGCTTAGGAAACCTATCTCAGACTACTTTAGAGTGTTATTGCCTTTAAAATTCTAAATGCACAAAGACAGTGGAAAGACACTGATAGATCAGAGAAGAGAGTTATAATGGAAAAAACATCTGCCTCCAAAGCACCTCCTGGTGAAAACCAGGAATATTGAGAAAAGTTTAAAATGTGGCTGGGCTAAAGATGATTTAACCACACCATTAGCCCACACTCCATGTTCCTTTGTTACTGTACTAACAGTTCAACTCAAACTGCAGCTCATCCACAAGATTTTCTTTGCCAGTGCAATCAGGAGGTTCTGGCACAACAATGAAAGGCTAATCTCCATGCAGCTCAGGAGGAATTACAGCCAAAGAATGTAACACCAGTCACACCCTAGCTTCTGCATCACTTTATTATGAGGTCTGCTGGGGGGATATTCCCAAGCTGCCCCTCATCATGTGGAAAAAGGAATAGGGGAATGGAAAGAGAGTGAGAATTTCATATCACATTACATGAGTGCAGCCTGGCAGCATCTGAATTTTCATATAGGCTGCACCCATTCTATGCAAAGTGGAAATTATTCAAGCCTTAATAGCAAAACAAACATTCAGTATATCAGATATCTGAATCTGAGATATTAATTATGAGTGACAGAAGAATTAAACCTGACACCAAAAGAATTGAAGTCGGTCTTTCTTCCATCAGTTTGCCACTGTGCCAACTGTTTTTCCTAAATCTGAAGCCAAAGTAATTTTTAAAGTATTTCCCAAGTCAGTCAGAATAGTAGGTGTAGGTTGGTTTGTTTTTTTTCTTTTTAATATCTTATTATATACCATTTAACATCCAATAAAATCCATAGTAAAATACTTCAATTTTTGCTCCAAATTTTTTTTTTAAATATAAGCTTATAGAGCTTTTAGGCCCAAATGCAGATGACTAAAGCTTGAGAAGCACTGAGTGCATCCAAATCCCAACAGTTCTAGCTATCTTAGTGCCATTTGGGATTTGGTCCAACATCTTCATGAAGTTTCCTTTCAGACTTCCCAAAATCCTTCACTATCAAAAACCTTTCCAGCAAAATTGTTTCCTCTCTCCTCCCTCAAAAGCCAGGCATAACAGGCTGGAAAACTGAGCAGGTCTGTAACACCAGAAGCTTCTCAGATATTTCCCCATCCATCCCTGTGGCTTCAGACAAACAATACTGCCTCTGCTGTCTCCCATTATTTTCACTCTGCCCTCAGAACAATTGAGAACCCTGAAGTTCCCCTGAAAACCAAATTGACTCTTCACAACATTTCTGTGCAGGGTTGTTTTCAGACTGGCATGATTAGCTCACTCACATGAAATATGGTTAAGCACACTTGCAGTTTCATTGCTGGCGAAGGGGGCAGTTTGTGCATGCTCTCACAGTGCCTAGCACACCAGGGCCCCTCATTAATCCCGTGGTGTTTTGTTTCAGCTGATAGAAAACACTGACTCTAAGCCATCTCTTCGTTTGTTGCAGGCAGCCTGCTTGGCAGACAAAGCAGGCTGCTGTGGTTAAAACCAGGAGAGGAGAGAACCACACTATTCCCAAAACCACCTTAATGTCAAGGCCTGGAACATGACCTTGTCGTTTGGCTTCAGGGCTGACATATAAACATTGGCTATTTAGCACACAACACTGGGGAGGGAGCATCTTTTTTCAGTGGCATTTATGGTTGCAGTGCTCCTGTTCATTCTGTTGCTGTGCTGGGAAACCACGGCTTCCCAGGGCATCTCACAGATCTCTTTGTCCACTGCAGAGTGGCTTCTTGGTCCATACAAAGCTGGCCAAAGCCGTGGCTGCTATCTCAGAAAAGCAGCACTCCGGGACTAATTATCCAGCTCCCCCAGGGACAGCCAGACCCATTTCATTAAAGTCTCCATTATGGCCCGCTGAATGGAAGAGGAGCTGTTAATTAGGCGGGGGAAGGCTGTGCCTGAGGCCAATCCTACCCACCCACCAGGGGCTTTCTGTTTTATCTCTCCTGCTCCTCCTGGGAGAGTGCCCTGTTCAGCAAAACGTGACATACGCCCTCTTAATATGATGTTTATCCTCTTACAACCAGAAGCAAATGGAACAAGATTATTCGCTGTTTAGAATTTTGCTGTAATCCACCACATATTTTGTGTTCTGGGAATGTCCCTCCAGCTGAGGAGTTATTCTCCATCAGAGAGGCAGTTTGACACTCTCTTGGAAAAGAAGCCAATGGCCATGTGGGGCAGCTTTCTTAAGTGCCTCCTTTGCAGCTATCTCCTGCTTTTGTCCTAGAGAGATGTTATGAAATCTTCCAGAGTCTATAGGAAACCCAAGCTTTTTGCCTGCAATAGGAATAATTGGAGAAGAGTGAGTGATGGAGGGGGAGGAGATGGGAAAATTAGCAGAGCAGAAAGTAAAAAGAATGATAATGCCCCCATTAATTTCACTATCACTTGTGCAAGGCATATTACTTCCTCTGAAGCACTTCACTAAACCCTTACAATTTCAACAAGCAAAATTGCGAGCTCTCAACGGTGGCCTTATTGCTGGTATTAGAAAAAGCCTGCAGAAATCTGTTCCCTTGGTTTTAAGATAATGAACCTTTTGACATTTTGATAGATGCTCAGCATTGTTACTGAGCTTTAGAAACTCTTATGGGGGGTACAGAGCAATTCCCTCATGAAAAAGGGAGCAACATGTGGTAGATATCACCTCAGTTTTTTAACTGATTGGTTCAGTGGGTAAATGTACAAGCCTCTCACCTTGTGGGCCCTGAGCTTAAATTGAGCACGGTGAGGTCACAGCTGTATTAACCTGGTATTCTCACTATTGCCTGTGGGGAATAGTAATCCTTAGTATAAAGCCACAGAGCCCTATACAATTGAATATAGTTTGTATAATGACCATTATTTATTCACAGGGGGCACAAGATTACACGAGCATGGAGAAAATTGCCCTCTGGCCCTCATCTAGTCAAAAGGTAGAAAACTGTACAAAGGAAACCTGCATTATGCCAAGCACAGGAATGCTCTAAAAATTTCTTCATAGTGTAGTGCTTATGGCCTTACACTTTTCATCCACCCCATTGCCATGAATATGGTGGGGGTGGAAGAAACTTTGGAACTCAAATCTTCTGCTGAAAATAAACTGTGCTCAATTTTCCCACAGTAATGCATATTCCATCCTAGTGATAGATGAATCCAGAACACTTTGCTCTGTTCAGTAAAGAAAATACGTCTACAGACACGTGTAGAAGCACATATACACAAGCATATAACCATACATTGATTTTTCCACATTTCTAGCTCAGCATGCCCCATTTCACTTTCGAGCTCAATTGTTCATTCTTTAATGGAAGGACAGTTAAGTGGTCCTTGAACCAGAAGCAGATAAGAGGCTTATGTATTGTCTCATGATCTTCAAGTGGGTCTAGTCATGAAGACAGGATGAAAAACTCAGGAGTGGCTGGACTGCTCTCTTCTTAGCATTTTGCTAAGTGCATCCTTGTGCTTTTCACATACCTTGAGCTGAGATTTTTCTCCATAGAGTTCCTATACATAACATAACATCTGCTAAACACGTGCCTTGATAAGTACTTCAGGTCTGCACCATTCTCAGACTTGAGCATCTGACACCAATGACCATTTCATCAGAGAAATCAGGACAGTGAACTGAAGGCAGGAAGGGAAACAGGTGGGGAAGCAAAAGAGAAGATGATGTTTCCCAGGAGAGTGGTCATGTGACAGAAAGCAGCAACTTCTGCATGAAAAGGACTTCATTACATGCAGGCAATACTGACACATAAATCTGGGGCAGCTGGGCAAAATAAATACCCAGGATCAAGCCTGTGTTCTCAGAAGTCATGTAAAAATGGTGATTGTGGGGTGTGGAGCAACAGGTCTACAGGACCATGACTTGGGATCAAAAGACAAGAAAGTACAACTGGAAAACAAATGCGTCCATATGCACCACTGAAGACATACAGAAACTTTCTTGGTATCATAGAATTTTCAAAAGGGAGACCTGAAAGATTGTCATGCTGTGGGGTTACCTATGAGCTCTAATACCATAATGAGAACTAACACTGAATAATACATTTATAGCCATTAAAAGGATAGCTTACTCTAGGTCTGTTTATCAATGACTGCTCCCCTTGGGTACCTATATTCCATCTAAAAAAATCACAGTCACGCTCTCTAAATATGCTGTGACTCATGTTTTACCACACTACCTTTTCAAAAACTTTTCAACAGGAGAACAGGCAGTGAAGGACCACAGTAACTGATCTCAAATTCTGGTTCACCACCCAGTACTAAAGGTTATTTCCTTGCTTCTTGAGATTTGAATTTGTCATGCAGGGCACTGCCCTCATACACACTTGCCCTGACAAATGAACCCTCAGAGTTCGTACCTCAGAGCATACAACATACTGTTCTGAACAGTATTATTAGTTTCTGAAGAGAGCTTTTTTTTTTCTCCTTTTCTGGATATGTTGAGTCCACCCATTTCTTCCATTTTTTGGTGGATCTTTATTTTTATCTACCCCTCTGAACACATCCATCACTGCCATAGCCTGGAAGCATGCCAAATACAGATGTACCTTTTGCATGATGACTGAAACAGGATGACACTGATAATTTTGGGGGTATGTAAAAAACCCTAGTGCAATCAAGGGACTCATGAATCAAGGGACTTGCCTTAAAATACTAAATTACATATATATACATACAAGCACACACACATAAAAATAGAATTATTGGTAAAAGTTTACTTTGGTTAGTATTGCCATTGTCTGCTTACTGTTAAACATCCAGATATGCCAAACTGGAAACCCTGTATGAGACATTTACTACAGTAAGGAGTGGCAGGGAATTAAATTTCTATTTTTAGGGGAGTGGACAAATTATGGTAAAATAGAATTTCCTCACAAGATACAGTATGTGATGCCTAAGGAAAAAGGCACTCAGATAGTAAAGAGAGCTCCACTTTAAGAACATCACTAGTTCTACTAAAAAAATTATAGTAGAATGCAGGGTTTTATCTGAAATTGTCTAGTTGAGGCATGTGTCCAGACATAATAACAAAAAAAGATTTAGAACTGAAAAGCTATTTTCCCAAACTACTCTAATGATACTTCTTGGCTGTGTATTAAAAAGTCAACAGGACTCTTTTGTGTTCAACTCTGAACTGAAAAAGGAAATCCAATTCAAGGAGTTCTATCTCTTTACTACTTAGAAGAACCATGACAGCACACAAAATTGAAAAAGGTCATCAGAGTTGCTTCAGAGACATCTCTGACTCCCAGTACACCTGAGCCCTGACTTTTTCCAGGGCATACAGTTGCTAATATTAAAAGGAAAAGCAACAACCTGAATATTATTTGGGTATGTATTATTTACTTCTTACTTATGTACCAGATCAATTTCAACCCTAATTATCCAATTGCAAACAGCTAAGTCACGCTGTTTATCCTAAACCTGGCTTCAAGAAGACATTGCAGCATTTTAAATGAAAAGAATTACATAATGGCATCCCTGGAATTTCTGTAATTATTACTGATACTGAAGTAGCAGTCACCCTGTGTGAGAAACTGCACAACCACGGAGTTTGGGCACACGCATGACCTTCCAGAGAAGAAACAGTAAATCCAGTAAATGACATCATCACCAATACGAAAATTTTTCCTCACCTGAAAAGCCGTTTGGGCCAGGAAAATGAGCTTATAATTTTCAAAATTCCTTGTCCTGTGAAAAGAAAGGTTGCATATGTGACAGCTTCTTTCAGGTTAGAGATACAACACTGAATATTGCCTGATTTTTCAACCTGTTTAATTGCTTTGTGGAAGATGCACTGAAGGCCTGAAAGTTAGTACAGTTATTTTTATTTGAATTTTACTTTTTTTTGCTTTACTACTCATAAGATAATTGATTTCCTACTGTAGGCTCCTATAAAGAGCTGACCTAAGCAGTATAAAATGCAAGAGGCTGAAAAGAGGCTTTTAAAGGAAACTTTCAGCAAACCAGGGGTGAGGGCTGCAAACAGCAACACTCTTCTGCTTCCTTATTTAACTCAGCATGGAGACTCTCACTTGGGCAAACTGGTAATTTTAGAGTGGGTGATCTCCCTCACTCACAGCATTAGATCATTTGGTAGATTTACGACGGGGAATTGTTTATACAGAATTCCTCCAAACTCTTCCTTCCTGGCCCTGTGGGATGGCTTAACAGAAGGAAGGCAAACTTTTGCAAGCACAGTCAGCAAGCACTGTCAGCCAACAGAGAGACCCGTGGGGATGAGCCGTGTTACAGAGCAGCAGGAGATCACATCGTGTTCTCTTTCCTCAGACACGCAGCCCTGCCAATGTAAACATCTGGTACAAGTAATAACTAATGCATCAGGCATCACTGCTGGAGGCAGAATTCTGTTTCTTGCACTTTGAAAAAAAAGCCAGCAAGAGTCAATTTTACCTTCAGTGAAAGCTGGTAGATGGGGTTGACACTGCCCAGGCTGATACTCCCAGAGTAAGGAATGGATGCTCTTCTGGCTGTCAGTGTGTGAGGCTCTCTTGTCGTGTTATCCTGAGCTGCATTTTCTTTGGCTTCAGCTACCTGAATGATGACAGTTGTCCCGTTTATTTTTTAATGTGCCATGATTATCTCACACAATTACCAAAATATTCCTATCTATACAGAAAAGAATACGGATATACTCTAGAAAACTGATATTATTTCAGACAGTAGCGAGTATTTAAAGTAAGTAAGCTTCTTATCTTAGACAACCAGGGGACAACTGTCCTCTGCAGAAATATGCCTGTTTACCTGTGAAAACATGTCAATCCTATATTAATAGATTTGTTCAAATTTCATGTTGGTATTTATTAATTTTATGAGTATTAATTCAAGCACCTAAAAAAAAAAATCCAGCATTTGACAACTACATGTTATAGATATGAAAATGTGAATATGGAGAGGACAGCCCTTTCTGGAAAAACATCAATTTGACTACTTCTATTCTAGCTCATAGAAACGTTACACTTGAAATAATAGTAATAAAAATAATAATAGAATAATAAAAATAGACGTTTAACAGGTGACTTTAACTTATTAGAAACAGTTCAATTGTCACTGCCTTGTGTTGTATTTTTTCTGCAGTTGGCTTTGCTGATTTGATTTTCTTTACAAGTTCACTGTCATCCAGGAGACTGCCCTGGGCAGCTGACAGGCTGAGCAGACTGCCATCCTCCAGCTACTCCACCTGAGCTCAGCCATGAAACTGTTCTGCTTCTTGGTGAGGACTGACTAGCAGAGGGAACAAAACCACTGTGTTTAAACAACCAAAGAAAGAAATAATACTCTATAGCATTTGAGAGCAACATTTTCTGCTTAATTACATCAGTTGATTTGATTTAATTTCTGAAAGGCCAGTTTACTTTCTGTTCCAGTATACCAGATCTAAGGTTCTGGACACTCAGAGTGAGAAGGTTTAGGTCGTTATGGATTTTATTTCTTTCCTAGTGCCCTTCCTCCTGGGACTATATAAAAGGTCTGTGATCTTGCCAAGGATGGCAAGTGGTAATCTATGTGGCAGCTAAGAAAACCAGAGAATAGTACAGGGCTGAAGAACTCACTTTGGCAGCAAACAGAGTGGGAAAACATTGTCATAGTCTGCTCTGCTGGACTGACCTTCTGCCAGTGCAAGAGCTTGACTAGTCCTATGGGGAGCTCTCAGTCAGACTCTGACTCACACCAGAACCCCAGGTGATACAAGCCTTGTAAGCATGCAGCCCCAGGTGGAACAATGTGCAGATGCAGAGGTAAATGGACAGCTGTTTTCAGATCTCATTCCCAAGTATATGGCTTTCATTCTTGAAGGGGTAATTAAACTCCCTGACCCAGTTTGCCCTTGCATGAAGCAGGAGTACCTCAAACAGGTGGAGCAAATCTTTGTGGATGAAGTTAGTTAATTACATAGATAACTGGAAAGACACACTAGAGAAATATGAGGTATTCTTGTTATTGATTTCACACCCCTAAGTATTTTCTTTTCAGTTTTATCTCATAGATTACAGTCAGCCCAAAGTCCTTCCTATAAACACTTATAAAAACCTTCCTCATACTACATATTGGTATGACTACAGCAGCCACAGAACTGCATCCTTGCAGGAATAAATTGTGATTTATTAACCAAATGGCCTAGCTCCTAACCAGTGCCATTATATCCTTGTACAGACTGGCATGGAATTTTATTTACACTTATTGGCTCAAGACTGCTGAAGCATAAAGCACTGCAGAGGGCTTTAATCCTGTGCTGTAAATTAAATGCAATGCACAGAGCAAACCAAGTGGTAGAGAGAAGTGTGGGAATAATAAATTTTATTTCTAGCAGAGCTTTAGGTCAAGACAAGCCCTTTGGGAGCACAGATCTGAACAAATAAGTAAAAGAACTTTCTACACTTTCCAGACTCTTAATATCTTTCTAATATGGGCTACTAACAATTACAGTACAGTAGATTCAAACAGGCATATTAATTCTAGACTTAAAATTTCAGAACAGGTAACAGACAAATCAAAATATAGTCCTTACCTTACGTGTTTTGTGAGTCTTGCCTTTCAGCATTAACAACCTCAGCCAACAGCTGGTCTTCAAGCCTGTCCCTGGTGACAGTGAAATTAATGAGGGTGGTCTGAGCCTGCAGTTCTGGCTTGTAAGTGAGGGTTAGCCAGTTTAGTGTGAAGGATGAGATGAAAATTCTTGTTGAAATCACATTTTTTTATCTTCAGTCTTGGTACATCTGGGAAAGAATAAAATGCACAGGAATGTGGATCTCACTAAATTAAAACCTCATAGGTATCTCAGATTGCACACAATGGGTACTCTATGATTTTAGCAGCACAAGAAACCTATAGAACCCAAACTTTAGGTGCCTGCAACTTAAGAAACAAAATGAAGATGATTGAATACACCAAAAGTATATGAAGAATGCACAGAGTATTTTTTAATTGTAGTTTCATTTACATATACAGCAGACACTGAGAGATTATTCACTGCTGTATGGAAGAGTCGGTGGCTTAGGGATAAATGTCTATCATCATTACTTACCAGAAACTTAGGAAAGTTTTCAAATAAATGTCAATGAGATAGTTGTTAATTTTTACAATAATTTCCTTAAATATATGTAGCCTAAAAAACTAAGCAGGGACATGTATTTACAACAAGTGGATAGACTAGAGGAGAGAGAATGAGGGAACTAGAAGCTGGCAACTGAAACAACAAAAATAATTTTTTTAAGGTAATTTACTAAATGTTTAATTCCAAATTAATTATTTGTTGGATGAAAGAATGAGTTATCTTAGGTTCTCCTTTTATTTACTGAAATCCCTTACTGAAGAGCTGTCATTTCCTGATACCTTATCTGCAGTGAGGGGTGAAACCTGTCCTGTACAGCCACTCTGATACTGCTGAAGTACCATTTTGGAGCCCAGCAGTGAGGCAACGTGAGTTCACCTTCCTACTTCTGTGGCATAGCACAAAAAAAAAAAAAAAAAATTGAAAGATTACTTGTACACTACAGTGTGTGCCATGTGTCTGGCCTGGTGTGACCCAGTGACACAACTTCTTGTCATTGATTTGCCCAGTGAACAGTGTGTCAGTTTTCAGGATTCACTTGCCACACACAAAAACAGTATTTTCTGTACAGCAATGGTTTTGAATGTTCTCTGTCAAGAAACAAGATTCAAATAAAGTAATAAAACTCTGTTAAAAAATGGCCAATAGAACATTTATAACATGGAACATACATAGACATGAACTCTTTTCATAAAATTCAAATTGGCATGTTAACTCAATTTTCAAAGTGATTGCATTAGCAAAGATACTAAAAGATTCTAAATTTACTAGATTTATGAAAGTCACATCAGAGCAGGAATAAAACAAGTATCTTCTGTAGAAATTGTAACGTTGCTTACTTTCTAGGCTATCACAGGGCATTGCCAGGACCAGGAACATAAGTTTCAGCTCTTAAGACCCTTCCCTGCTTCTGACATGCCCTTAGCTATAAGGCATAGCCTAAATGAAATGGTGTGCTGAGACCCTTCTGCATTTCACCAGGGAGAAGGAAGAAAAGAGAGATGCCTATGGTACAGTTTAAGTGAATTCCTTCAGGAAACCTACTCTGTCTAGTGCTGGGAAACCCATGGTTCTACTAAACTCAACATCAGACATGTGTATTGTGTCATACTGCCCCACAAACTACTGGAGATGGGTGTTCCAGGCTTATGCTTGTATAATACTGCCATTATTTAGCCACGTGGTCATGTCCTTCAGATTATACAGCCTCTCTCAGGACATGAATTCACTGTCCAGTTCTGCAACATGGTCTCTCCACAGCCTTCAAAACTGGCTGGAGCTGGAGGGAACAGAACCATAGAGCTTGACACAGAGAAAGCAACCTTGCTTTGCTTTCAAGACACACACACAGAGGAAACAAGAGATCTGACAAAAGACAAGTCCTTCAGCTTGCTTTGTCAGAATTGAAAAACCTTTGCTAAGGGAGTCACACTATGTTTCAGAACATCTATGAGGCAATATAACAAGTTTTAGAGTTCTGGATTAAAATATTTCCTTTAGGAGTTCTCAATTCACAGAAGCAATAAATAACCAATTTCTGTGATTATCACCTATGAAAGGCAAAATCTACATAATGACTTGGTGGGTTTTATTACTGCAGCTGTTGTAGATTTTCTGTTAATTACAGATTTGGAAAAAAGAAATGTTTTGCTATTGCTCTCGCATGGTTCAAGAGTATAAGCAACAACAATAAACAGAGAGGTGGGGAACTTAGTAGGATGACTTAATTTTTTTTCAGTAAAATATATCTGTTTAGAATTATGAAGAATTATGAAGAAATTATGAAGAAATTATGAATTATGAAGAAATGCAGCAAAATAGGCATGAATAATGGAAGTCCATGATAGAAGGAATATCAAAAAATAGTCACCAAATAAATTTCTATAGACAACTTCTACTTTTGGCAATGTTTTCTTTATAATGTCCTATTCCCTCAGCTGAGGCAGATAGAATGGATGGAACTAAGGCACCACTCTACCCAGGAACAGACATAGCATCTTTCATGTGAGTCCCAGCTCCCTGGTGTTTAAGAACAAAGTAAATTGAAGAGAGATTGTTCCCCACTAGTTTTTATTCCTGTTGAAATTCTCATAGATTTTGAAATAAAGTAGATTAAGGGATTCAAAAAGGATTTAAAAAGCTTAAAAAAATATCTGTATATGGCTTGAGAAGAAATTATTTTTAGCCAAAGCAAATGTAAAAACAAATAAATTCCAGGAGGTAACATGAGCACTCAGCTATGAGAAGACTAGGACTCGTGTAACACCTTGCCTGATCTGTCAAACTTGATTGATTGACACAAAGACCTGCTATTCCCTTGTGTATGTTCTGCCTGAGGAAACAATGCCTAGGTATTTCAAAGACAGGAACTCATGAAGGTGAGGAATTTTGAATGTAGGAGCATGACTTCATATAATGAAATGGCTCAAGAGTTTATGCAACATCTTTTCTTATCGGACATTTTCATGCAACACAAAATTAAAGTGTACCTTTCAGGGCAGATGTTCTCCAAAACACACCATAACTCTAAATGGCAGAATGGTAGGATAGCTTCCTGTAGCGAGGTGTTTTGGATCAGCTCAGCAAGAATGAAATAAGTGATAAATTTTTTGGATGGGAAAAGTAAAGAGAAATGATATTTTTCAGTGGGAAGAAAGAGGGATAAACAGATTTTTCAGAGGAAATGAAAATTTGTTCATTCAGTTCCTGCTGGTTAAAATTAAAAGCTTCTGGAACCGACCTGCAAACCCCAACAAGTAATGTAGAGAACAAAGTTGAATAAATCAGGTGAAAACAAGCACAGAATGGAGCTGTTACTAGGCAATCTCAGTAGGCAAACTGTGCAAGTTGGTCAAACTAGTTCAGTGGGAAAAGCACTGCCTTGAAGCTGCACAGCTGATGAGACGTTCAAGGCAAGGAAAGCTTCTCCCTGTGGAGAAACTGAGAGAATTTTCTTACTGTTTCATGAATAATAGTCATGCCTCATAAGAATGGAAACTTGTTCATACAAGCTACATTTTCACATAAATCAAATTTCAAGACATCTTAAAAAATCTCTTAATTACCTAATCTTGGAGCTGAAGAAACATGGCTACCTCTGTGACTGTGCCACGGAGTTCAGCAAGTGTAACAGCTCATGCTAATGCAAATGGGAACCTTATGAACAACGAATTTATTCCTCTGTCTTCTCTCCTGTGAGCCAAAATAGCACTGATCTGTTATAGTTAATGCTCACAGCCAGTGATTTCCAAAGGAGAGGTGCTGGGGAAACAGGATAGGACACACACAGGTAACAATTCAAGTATTAAGGGCCATCCATGCCAAACTTACTCAATGGCACACTTTCTCCTATGGCAGGTGAAAGGCAAAACCCAACACCATAAAAAGCTGGTACCTTTTTACTTTTATGCCTTGGTTTGTCTGCTCCAAAAAAAAAAAAATCTAAATATTTGCATCTTGAATAATTTCTGTGTACATTGCAAATACATTGCACCCAAATTTTACTTTCTTTTTGTCTTGTGGCTTCCATGCTTACATAAAACTATGTACTACAACTGATATTTTCTTAAAACTATTTTATTATTTTTTCTTTTCTCCTCCTTCTCGAAGCAAATATCTTGAAATATTTTAACAAAAATCTCAGCATTTTAAAGCCATTTTGAGCATAAGGCCACGGTCTAAAGTGCATGAGAAATAACTGAGCAGTTTTGCGGTTCCAAAATAAAGAATGAAAATGTATCCAAATTTGAATACCCAAAGTTTGATAGGCTTCTAAATATAGACTAAGGCACTTAAGCATGAAGTCTTCTTTTCAGAGATAACAAGCACCTTTAGTTCACCCTGTTGTGACCTGGTTTTGAGGAAAATATAAATTTATTCACTTGAAGTTCTCCAAGGCTGAGAATTTCTTTTGCAGGCTTCATTCAGAAACAATACCAAGAGTTGCAGAATATCCAGGGGTGCAAAATAAGAACCACCTTACAAAGAAGGAAAGGGAGAGGAACTTTTATGAAGTGGTTCACAGATCAGCAAGTTCTCTCATAAACAGGCTAGTAAATTTGCTTTGGAAGTACAAGTTGATAAATCTCCCTTGCTATGCTTTCTGTCGATTGATATGATAAGATATATTTTACTTAAAATTAGGATTGTCTGAAGCTCAGTGGATTTAATTCTTTGTAATTATCCAGTTGTTGTCAGTATGTGGCCATTTTATGACAGTGGTATCTACTGTGTGGGTCAGGTTCAACTGTACATCTTTTCAAACACAGAATTAATGTACTATTGATGAAACCATTACTAGAACCAAATTAAAGTCTGGGCTGATGTATTGGTCCATGGGGTGCTGTCAGATATGAAAGGAGTAATTAGTATTCATTACTTCATACTCTGCAACATTCCAATTATTAATGAACTTCAACTGCTGGACTGCATCATATCTATCACAAATACCATTCTAGTCTTTCTTTATTAGGAAAAAAAAATTCAAAGTACCTGACAGAACTACTAAAATAAAAAAATAACAGAAATTAATCAAGAATGAGGCAAACTCTGCTTATTTGGTAATAAATGGGGTATATACTGGGTGGCTATATATATATATCGTGGTGTATATATACATTATGTTGTGTATATATGTATATATACATACATATATAATTATACACACACATACACACGTGCCCCTCAAAGGTGTCTTGTGCATCTTCAATCAGGCACAGAATGCCAAGTCATGCAACACTTCTTAAAATATTTGGTAGAAGAACCTCATTTTGAATAGCTTCATATATTTGCTTTTGTCTCCATGTACACAGCTTCATCGTGCTACATGGAAGCCTTTGTTAAATAAATGCAAAACTATATTGCTGTCACCCTTGTCCTTTTCAATCCAACTTCTTTCTGTTGTTTCACATCCCTTCACATCCTCCCATTCTTTAGAAGTCTGTTACTTTGTGAAAATTTTGATCTCTCTTTTAGACCAGTATAATACTAATTTTCAGTAAAGTTTCTTCACTATGGATTCTGAAAAGCAAGCTGTATGCTCTTACTATGAAGCACTTCAAATACAGCTTTAGAAAAATTCAACAAAGGGGGTCATTTCAAGGTCTCACAGTGCAGGGCAAGAGTGCATCTTCCATCTTCATGTATACAAGGAGATTTGAGCTATTTTTTACTTAGATTTGCTGTGCAGGCACCAATGCCAGAAATATAGGGTGGGAAGGAGAGAGAAAAATCTTGGGTAATCTGTCCAAAAGATGATAATTTCTTTATTCATAATTTCTTTCATATTTTCACTTTCGACAATGTGAAGCTGTGCAAGCACTCTAACCACTCTTTGACTAACATTTGAGATCCATCCAGAAACGCCCCAAGAGTATGTCTGGCTTTATATCAGAATAAATATCACATTGTCCAGCATGAAAAATCTAGCTTCTTGGTACATTGCTTGCAAACAAGAACAGAAGAGAAGAACACTTTCAGACTTAAAACTAAATTCACATTTGAGCAGAAACAATGACATGGCATTTCAGGTCCTCAGATGAAATATTTAATGAGGTTTAATAAGAAGTTTACTCTCGAGCAACCAGAAATCAACATTATTCTTTAGGCTGACATCTGCATTGAGGACTCAACAATTTAATCCAAAGGCTTTATGAAAAGTTTTGGAAGACATTATAAACTGAAATCCTCTTACACCAAGTACAAGTTCTTTATTTTCCCTATTATCATCC